TATTCATTATGTTAAATGGTGTCTCTTGTTGCAGGTATTCCCAGTTGCATGATAATCAGGATAATCATCCTCTTCCTCAAGCCACGATGATGTCTAATGGTAATGGACAACAAAGTGTTACCTCCATGCAACTCCCAAGGTAAGCAACCTTTATCAATAACCATAACTTTCTCTCACTGATGGCTGATGTGACATTTGGATACCTATACCTGTCTGTCTTATGTTTTTTGTTTTCTAAGATAATAAACACTTAAAAAATGATTATTGTATAATTTATTATGATAAAATGATTTTGTCTAATTGGAGTAATAATTTTATTAAAAATTTAATATATAATTATTAATATATTTAATTATTTAAATGAGATATCAATAGATGTATACGTATGCTTAAAATATAACTAAACTATTTTTTAAAATAAAAATATTTTGAGACAAAATAAAATAATTAAACAGACATATAACATAAGATAAGAGAAGTAGCAACGAGTAATGCACTGATTTGAAATGCTCATCATTAATTATTTGTATGTTTACCTTTTATTCCTTCTATTTTTTTTTATCTGTCACTTGTTAGGAAATTTAAGACAACATTAATTATATATATATATATATATATATATATATATATATATTAATCATACTCTATAATTAATTAATTAATAAAAGAGATAAAGGGCTATAATGGAAAAATAAATGATAATTTTAATTAAAACAAGAACGTTAAGTCTATATCCTCAATTTCTAAGCCCTTAAAGTGTGATAGATAAAAAAAATGAAATATACAATGATTAATTATGCTTATCATTAATTACTTATGAGATTAATTTCTATATAACAATTAATAATTCATTAATTTTCAAATAAAGGTCTCAGGGTGTGCCAGATCAGATAAATGAACACTATCTAAGGATGAACACTCCCAATCAACGAGGGCAGAGCAACACATTGCATGGACCTTCAGCTGGGTCTGCCAGCTTCCCAGGGACCCCTAAAGGACCAAGTTCACAAGTTTTTAGGTCAAACGAAGCTGAGATTGCACGCTTATTAAGGTATCAAATTTTTTATGTTATTCTTAATAATCTGATTTTACTATCATAATATTGTTTATATTTTATGTTACATTATGTTTTACATAATAAAACAAATTAAAAATTTCATTATTATTATTATTATTAACATAAAAGAACTTTACCTAGCACGCAACAAGTGGCGGCACCTGTTTCAAAGAATGAAGTCCCTACCAAACGCGACAAAGGAAAACGTCCTGAATCCTCATCAACTCCGTAATTTACTTCAACTCATATCTATGATTTCTCTTACTCTTTACAATGCTCATATACTCAAATTAGTGAAAATTGAAGGTGTTCTAATATTTTTGCTGTTGATTTTTGAGGCATTGATAATTATGACGAACAATACAATTGTAATATTCTTATTAAAAAAAGCTCTACAAACATATTCATGCAAGAGCTTATATAAGGAGAGAGCCAAGTCTATTTACTTCATGTTTTTATTTAATTAATGAGGTTGATGGTGCATAGGGTGCAACCTTCGGAGGCAATTCTCAGAATACTACATATGAATCCTAAACGAATGGTTAACTCCTCTGCTCAGAAAAATCAAAGCATGGGTTTGCAAAATGAAAGGGTAAAAATCTCTAAATCAACTTTTTGCAATTTTTTTTTCTTTTTACCTTATCACTCATTTTATCTAGAACTTTATGTTCCTTTCCTATCTCTTACCTAAATTGTAAGAACTTGTTAGTGTATCATTATTTTATCCTTTCCAATTTTTTAAAAAACAACAAAACATTGGAAAATGCGTAATGTTGCACTACAGGGACACTATGAACCGGCACGTCGTGGTCGTCCCCCAAAACGTCGTGAAGCAGGAGAGGCGTCTTCTCAACGTGGAAAGGTATTCATTTTACTTAGCCATGCATGCATGAATACGTTGTTTTTAGTTTTCTTGTGATTAATTGAATGACTGAAACCAAAATGAGATTTCCCATAAAGTGATTCCGCTTGGTTTGTTTTGAGTAGTTTCAAAAGGTGTCTTCCGAAAAAAGAAGAGTTGGAACAAACCGTGAATCCCAAGAAGCACAAAAGACTCCTCACAGCGTAGAGAATAGAGATCAGAACACTAACCTCCCAAACTTGCCCTCTGCTCCAAGGTAGACTCCAAAACTCGATATCCCATTTATATGATGCTCTTGGGTTTGTTAAGTTACCCTATAAGAGAAATAAACACATCTTAAACAGACTAATAAAGTTAAGACCATGTACTGAAAATAGTATGAGTTTTTTATTTAATTTTCTATAGACAAAATCTAGTTAATTCATATGGGGTAACTTATAGACAAAATCACTGCATTTTCTTAGCATCACTTCAATCATTTACCTCTCGCTACTTGAATGTAGAGATAACTGAAAACTTTCGTGACTTTGATTTTCAGGCAATTTATGAACGCCGTCTATGACCCGAAATATGAGAGGAATGGTTTTCCAATTGACCCCCATCTTAGATTATTCAAACCACCAACAGGTAATTACATTCCTCTAAATCATTGAAAACATAGTTGCTAAATTTTGTAGTATCCTGCTACTAAACTGTCTTTTCATTCAGCAATATTCTTATTAGTTAATTACTGCGATATTAAATCATTATAGAAAATTTATATTACAAGCATGTACAGTTTGAGCTCAAAGTTTAGTAGCTCGGAATTAATCCGGAATGGTGATTTCCTTCGTGCAGGTAATTAATATGTGCCTGGCTTACTTCAAAGAAACGTCAAGTGCCTGAAATTCTCAAGAATAGTTGAATTGGATGAGGCCAGTTTGTATCTTTAAAAAGTCATTATTATTCAAATTTTATCAAAAACTTGGTAGTAAGGTTTTTAGTTTTCCATAATATTATTTGCACATATAAAATTTGATAACTGGGGGGAAAATCACCAAAAAAGTTATGTACAAATTTTTATGTGCAAATGATATTATATATGGGCTTAGTGTGTCCATATACAGCCTTTTTATGATATTGCGTTAAAACCTGATTTTGGGCCGAAGGCCCGATCTTTTAATTCTCGTGACCATAAACTAAATGTGTGGTTTTTCATAATTTTGTGGCTTCTGAATGTAGCAACTGGTTTTAAACCATTTCTGCAAGCTACAGTTAATACCTTTTTGTGTGTAGTAAGGTATTTCTAATATCTGGAAATTAATCCCTTCAAAACGTGCATTTACAACCATTGATGAGTACAGATGTTTGTGATATTTGATTATCCCATGGATGACACTGACATCTTGCCCCGTCAATAGGAATCAAAGAAGATAAAAATTACAACAAGTAATACTTTCATCCTTTGTTTGGCATCAATTTGAAGCTAAAAAGGGATACTATTTTCGTGAGTCTCATTATTATTTTTTTCATCCTCTTCCTCTTTCATGAAAAGAAAAAAAAAACTGAGTCTCACAGCATTTTAAATGCAATACTTTTATTAATTTATATATACACTTTATTTTTTAATCGATGAAACCAAACAAGAGAAGTAAAAGCATCCCTTCTCCTTTATTAGATAATATCAAGGGTGTGATTGTTTTGTCATCTAAACTGCATTTGTAGAAAAGGTGATATTAAAGAGATGAATAAGTTATTGTTGAGTGTTTGGTTTACTAGTAAAAATGAAAGAAAACTAATAGTATACCCCCACCATAATACTCTGTCACAAATTGGATCTTCTCCCGCAGTTTAATTTTTCTAACGAAAATCTTATTCATACATTTCCTTTTCTTTTATTTTACGAGTTTCCATTGCACTTAGGTAGGAATTTTGTACGCAAATGTTTGCAGAAAAATCAGAGTAATGTTATATCCTCTTGTTATATCCTTTTACTAATTTTTTAATTTAAAAATTAATGTATTTAAAATCTTAAAAACATAAAATACATTTATTTTCTTTCTTTATTTAACAAATAGGAAATTTTGTGAGAAAATAATTTAAGAGAATTTAAAACTATTTCAAAATCATTTTTTTATCTATCATTTTAAGATATTGTACAAAAATTAAAGAATATATTTAATGTTCTCGTTTTTATTAATTGTCCTTCGATTTCCTATTATACATATTTATCTCTTGTTAACTAATTACTCTTTTATTTTAAGTTAATATCATAATTAAAATAAACAATATTTTTAAAAATGATAGATAATTTTAAAAAACTAAAAATTAAGAGATAAAAAAATAAAAAGTAATCAGTCTTGGACATTTATTCTATTTAATATCATATAACATTATATTAATTATCATGCAAATAAACGTGTAGATGAATTAAACATTTGCAAAAATATTATATTATAGTTATATTTTTAAAAATATAATATACATGATAATGAAATTAGTTGGTAAAGTGTTAAGTGATTCTTAAATAAAATGTTATAAAGTTAGGTTTAATTTGTAGAAACTTCTCAATAAATATTTATAGGATTAAAATAATAAGTAGTAAAAAGAATTAAACTCTTTTTTTAAATTAAAAATTTATATTTATTTTTTATTTTTTATAAGTTTTCTTGTTTAATTTATCTAAAATTTAAGGAGATAGATTATTTTTAACCTAAAATTTTTATTTATTTATTATATTAATTATTTATAAAGATTTCTTTAAAATTTACCCAAATTATGTCTAAATCTATTCAATAAGAATTTTCTATTTAACAGTTAAATTAATAAAATTTAATGTTATAAAAAATTATTAATCGAAGTTTAGAATAAATGAATGCCACCCTTACTTTTAATATTTGTTTCCATTATATTAACTATTTTAACCCATATGTTTTTCTTTTCGTTTTATTTTTCTTTATTGTATAAAAAATTCAATTTCTCAAGCCTTATTTATACTTGATTGTTTGATATTCTACCCGTGTGTGAATCTAGGGAAAATTGTCCGTATATAGGAGCTTTTCCGTAAAATAATAATTTGGCAATTCCACTTCAATAATGAGAGGGCACAAACACAATCCCAAATGTCATTGCATTTTACGTAAGACAATGTAATGCACCACTTTACGGACTTAGACAGGCAATCATGCAATCATGCACTGTATTACAGACAAGGCCCCAAATCATGGGTCCGGGAATTTAGAGGCCAGACATGCATCTACGGCTTCACCAACAGTTAGGAAAACCCATTCCTTTCCCATTTTATCCACAAAGTGTGCCACTTTCAGCTTGTGAATTACTTGCCACCTCGGGTTCACCACACCCAACTGAAACCCAACCAAAACAAAACCGGTTAATCAGCAAAACCACATCAAACATTATTTGTTAGGTCCCAACATACAGATTCAAGTTAAATTCGTGTTAGTCTCACTTGTACGCCACGAGAAAGCAACCTCTTGTGCAGTTCCTCCAATGCTAGGATGCCCGAAGTATCAACATTCATCAGGTCTATCAAAGGGATCATTCATAAGGTTGTTATTATAATGATAAATTCCATGCATGTTTTGGCACTAAAGTAATGACTTTTGATACTCACTGGTCATGTCCAAGATTACTGCTTGGACCACTCCCTTGGCAGTTTCTTCAAGCTTGCCTTCTTTTTCCGTGACCCACTTCAGAATTCTGAATTAATTGAATAATTTCAATTTCAAAGTTATGTCACTGAATGTAAACTCTCCAAATAATATCGTAAAGTGCTTGCCTTTCTCTCACAAAATTAGCATTGGCAAAGCAGAGTGAGCCAGAGCTTATGCGAATCACCAAGATGCCAGGAGTGCTTATGGCCATGGGATATTGACTAACATCACAAAAAGCTTCTGTTCTTGGAACTCTACCTAGAACTTCTATACCAGGTCGAATTGATTGTATTAGTATCTTTGCAAATGAGATTGACACCTGCCCAAACACAAATACATCTCAATCAGAGACACCAACATTGATTGATTGTATACATGCAATTTACGTATTTAGCTAGAATTTGATTTTTAAGGGGCATCCCAATAAATAATTTTACAAAACTCTTGTTTAATATTTTTTTAAATAATAAATTATAACAAATTATGATAAAATTTATTAAATTAAATTAAAAAATTCTTATTTTGACTTTAAAACATTACAAAGTATTTTTATAAATTTTCTATAAACTCTTGCAAAGTTCAGTTAATGTGAAATGATGACCTTAACAAAAAATAGCTTGTCAAGCCGTGTCTGAGGCCAAATCAGTGGGCCAGAGTCCAGTCTGGAAGCCCGACAAGAACGGCACTTACCAAACAAGACAACACAATTGTCCAAGTTAAATTGTGAGATGATGGAACCCACTAAGCCTTTCAACTATTCAGATTTCGTGTCAGACATTCAACTCCATTCTACACTAGTTGCCATTAACCTTGCGTAATTTAACTACCAGCTTGAGGCAACTTGGGTCCCTTCTATTTGTGCAAATTGTTAATCATTTGTACCTTTATGTCTGCTTGTGTTATAGGATTCAACTTAATGTTTGTTTTAATAACTTTTAAAAAATTTACTAGAAAAAAAAATATATTATTTAAAAAAAAATGCGATGTATCATAATGCTTGAAAGGGGTCTACTACTTACTGCAATAAGAAGACCAATTTCCACTGATACAAACAAGACGCCTAAGAAAGCACCAATGCAAGCAAGAAAGTCTAATTTGTCAACCTTCCATATATAGTGAGCTTCCTTTATGTCAATTAGTCCAGGAAGTGCAGAGAGAATGATAGAAGCAAGTATGGCCATAGGAGTGTAGTATAAAAGCCTTGTAAATAATTCAAGGCAAAGAAGCACAGTAACAGCCATCACAATATTTGATATTGATGTTTCACATCCTGCACTGAAATTCACTGCAGTCCTTGAGAAAGAACCTGCACGTGTGATCCACAAACTATATATAAACAAATTTCATGCATCGATAAATAAAATATATTTATAAATTAATCTTTATGTTTAAAAAAATGATATGTTTTAGAAAAAAATATGTTTTATTGTTTTAATCCCTTATATGATAACATTGATAATAATAAAAGTTTGTTGTATTTTTCTATATGCAAAATTAATTTGTAAATAAATGTCTAAATATATTCCATACTAGTTGCATAATCATTAAAAGAAAGAAGAAAAAAAAAATTCACCAGTTGCCACATAGCATGAAGTGAGAGATCCTGCAATGTTCATACATCCCATTGCTAGCATTTCTTTGTTCCCATCAAGATGGTATCCTTTAATTGAAGCAAAAGATCGACCAACAGCTATTGCTTCCTGAATTGAATTGGAAGTTCATATTTCCATTAGGAAGATACAAACTTAAGAGTTTAGAAAAAGAAATAACTAATTGAAAAAAAGTAAAAAAGAACAAATAAATTAGCATACAGTTAGAGCAATAACGGCTGAAATCAATCCAATTTTAGTTGCTTGACCAACATATTGACCATCGAATTGTAACAGGTGAGCCGAACTTGGATTTAAGCCTCCTTTGACATGCTTTATTATATTCACCCCATTCTTATCAGCTTTTGATAAATACACAATTAAAGTTGATAATACAACTGATAGAAGAGGAGCAATTGCAGGAAACCAGAAAAGTTTTTTGTTTCTTCTGCCCTGAAATGACATATGCATTATCAGAAGCTCAATTCAAACAGAGGTGACGTTAGTGGAATGTAGATGCCAGAAATTTCATTACTTACAATAAATCTAGCAATTAAGAGGAAAATCAGGAATGAACACCCGATGACAAAATTCAGAGGGTACCACTGTCAATGGAAAAAAAAAAGAATAATGTCAAGTATAAACAAAGACCACATAAATTGTTTCTTTAAAGATTTATAATTTATTACCCTCGTTATTATTATTATTTTTTTTTTCAAAACCAGCAATAGAATAATGGGGTTCTGAGGTCAAATTTATGAATGGGCAGCTATACAAAGTTTCATGAAATTAGTTTTAAAAAATGTTAACTTAAAAGTAGAAGTTTGTTATTAAAAAGCATAAAAGGATACTCACCCACATGATTTTCAATGCATTTCACAATCATTTCCAATCAAAAATTACTTTTTATTTAACAAGACCCTTAATTAAATTCTTCCGATCCAAGAACATAAAACATTTGGCAAGAACTACTCACCTTTTCTGCTGATGTAATTTGATAATGGAGTGACTTATATACAGATTCCAACACGGATACTGCATCAGTTTTATTGGTAAAGTGATTAAGGCCCAGCAACCCTTTGAGCTGCTGAAGACCAATAATGATGGCTGCGCCAGCCATGAATCCTACAAGTGCAGCATGTGAAAGAAAATCCACAAGAAAGCCCAACCTGCAGATTTTGGACGCTTAACTACTTATTCTATAAAGAAACCTACACATTTAAAAGAAAAATTCAGAAACAGACGAGGAAAACACCTGAAAACTCCAAATGCAGCTTGAAAGATTCCAGCAAATAAGGTCACAGTAAAGATAACGTTTCTGTAAGCAACAGGATCCATAGCAGGATCTACCACTTTTGGGACCAAAGAGGATAGCAGCAACGACACCACAGCTACTGGTCCAATTGCAATTTCTCTTGAACTCCCCATTAGAGCATAGATAAGAGGAGGAACAACACTGGTGTCTGAACTCAATTAAGACCAAGAAAAAAAAATTGAAGCTTTTTAGTTGAGCATGTTTCTATAGTGATGCACCAATATAGTATATAATAAACATAACTAGTGTCGGATACGTACAGAGGCCATATTGAGGATCAAGTTTTGCTAAATTAGCATATCCAATACTCTGCAACATTAGAAAAAAATTAGAGAAAAAGCCGAGGAGAATGTGATGTAATGTTCCACATATGATGCATTGCATGAAATTAGAAGTAATGTCTGCTTTGTAAATACCTGAGGTATGCTAAGGCTGGCTAGTGTTAAACCTGCTAGCAAATCATCCTTAAACTTGGAAGCTTTGTAATTTTTGAACCAATTAAGGATTGGGAATAAACACTCCAAGAACGAAACTGCATGTCCAATGCAATTTTTGTTCTTGGATGAGAAAAAGAGCATGGTATCTTTGAGTGGACTAAATAGCTTCTTCCATAGAGGTGGTGGGTTGGGAGGATTGAGCACCCATTGGAACCTCTCTATTTCATTAGTATCCTCAAGGTGAAAGTGCTTTTGCTCTATGACTCTCATAGTGGAATCATCAGAGGGAAGTGAAGTCATGGTTGTGTGTGAAGTGTTTGGTTGAACTCTGGTATGCTAGCTGTACTTAATGTAACATTATTCATGCCAGTACAATAGCACCTACATGACTATTTTTGACATGGGTCAATTTGTTTGGATGATTGCTTTGTTTGAAAGCGGCTGCAGCAAGCTTTCATAGAGAGGATAGTTGTGGCACCACTTTGATTGGCTAATCTCTAAAGTTTATGATGAGTATAAATCCCCTTTTATTCACCCTTTCTCGTGTAAGGAACTCAAAATAATTTTTTTATTAAAAAAATTATTAACCACTCTTATTAACATCTTTAATAAAAAATTATTTAATAATTATTTGACCAGTGCCTTAATGATGTCTCTTTTTTAGAGTAGAGTTTTATTAATTGGTATCCTAAGAATACTTATTAAGAAATTAATGAATAATATTTTTTTATCAATAATATATTAAAATAAGTTTTAAAAATCTAAAAATGAGTGTAATTTTATTTTTTAATAAATATTTTTATTTCTATTCATTAATCAGTGTCTTGAAAGCGCTGTTAAGGCACTGATTAATATTATTTTTGAAAGTACTATTCATTTAGCTTAATCCTACTTAAGTATGAGATTTATTTATTTATTTTATTATTTTTAAAAATAAATCATTAACAATTTTTCTGTCTAAATAATTTTTGTCATGTGACTACTAATTTCGCTGCCACAAATAGGCAAAAACTTTTTTTTTTCAAATAAATTAAATTGAGAGCGGGGAATTTTTGAAAATTGTGCACCTGAGTTTTGCAATTAATTCCTGTTCTGAACTTCCATTAATCGAACTTTTGCACTTTGACGCTTACACCGAGTTTGGATTTGACTTTTCTTTTTAAAAAATGAACTTCTTTATTTTAATTTGATTTAATTATATTCTTATTTTTTTTATATGTTAATTTAGTTTTATTTTCAATATTCATTATGTTACACAAAAGAATTTAACTTTTTTAGTATTTATATTATTTCAATATTCATTCCTCTTGCCCCTTTTCTTTTTCTTGTGGCAGCGGAAGGGTTAGGAGTTCTTATGCGGAAGGCAGTGACTTGTGGGCTGTTTTCTGGTGTAACGATTGGGGAAGGGGGACCAGATATTTCTTTGCTGCAGTTTGCGGATGACACATTGATTATGGGAGAGGCTTCAGTGCAGAATTTGTGAACTTTGAAAGCAGTATTGCGTAGCTTTGAATTAATGTCAGGTATGAAAATTAACTTCCATAAATCTTTTGTATTGGGGATTAACACTGGTGATGACTTTGAAAACTTGGCTGCGGAGTTCCTACATTGTAAGATTAGTAGTTTCCCATTAAAGTATCTCGAGTTACAGTTAGGTGTTAATCCGAGAAACCCTAGTGCATGGAAGGGTGTGTTAGAGGCTCTTAAAAAGCGGTTAGCGTCATGGAAGCATAGGTATTTATCGATTGAAGGTAGGGTGACATTGATTAATGACGTTCTTAATTCTATGCCATTGCACTCGTTATTCTTTTTTAAGGTGCCGAAGTCGGTAATAAAGGAAATTGTCACTATCCAACGGAATTTTTTATGGAAGGGTGTTAAGGATGGATCTAAAATCCCCTGGGTGAAATGGAAAACTGTATGTAGACCGCGGAAGAATGGTGGCTTGGGCATTAGGAATGTGCAGTGGTTTAATTGGGCGCTTCTTGGTAAATGGTTGTGGCGAGGTGTTAACTGTTCTAGTTCATTGTGGGTGCGGGTGTTGGAATCTAGATATGGAAGATTAGCTTCTTCTCTTCAGCGTTCATCAGTTCACAACAGATGTTCTTTGTGATGACGTGATTTGCTGGAGGTTATTAATCAAGGGAATTCATGGCTGGATGAGAAGTTTGATAGAAGTGTGGGTACAGGTTTACACACTCTTTTTTGGATAGATAAGTGGGTAGGAGGGGTGCGATTGTGTGAAGCATTTCCGCGATTATTTGCAGTGGTGAGAAATGCTGAATCACGTGTATTGGAGAATGGTTTTCATGATGGCACTAGATGGGTTTGAAATGTTAGTTGGCGAAGAGGACTCTTTCAACATGAGATCTCGAGCTTTAATCTTTTGTTGAAGCTTGTGGATGGAATTTCTATTAAGTTACTACAAGAAGATAAATGGGTATGGAGGGCAGATTCTTCACGTTGTTATTCAGTGCAATCTACGTATTCATGACTATTTGAACTTTTTGGTGGTCTTAATAGTGTAGATCAGTGTACGGCAGATGCTTTGCAAAGGTTATGGAGAGGGAAGGTCCCTCTTAAGTGTCTGGTTTTTTCTTGGCAATTGTTGTTGAATGCACTTCCTTGTAAAGATTTACTGATTGATTGTGGAGTTCAAATTGATGATATAACTTGTTGTTTCTGTCATGGTTTGGAGGAACTTCCAACTCATTTATTTTTAACGTGCTCAGTTTCATCTCAAATCTGGTACTTTACTATGCGTTGGCTTAAATTCTCACTGGTTTTGCCTTCAGATTTATCGACTCACTTGCTTTCTTGGATTGGTGTTGGCTGTAGTAAAAGAGAAGAAATATGCTTATTAATTATTTAGGTAAGTACATTGTGGTCTTTGTGATTGCATAGAAATAGAATTATATTTTCCAATGGTGTTTTGGATGAGAGGGAAGTCCTAGATTTTATTATTCTGAGATCCTGGAAATGGTTATCACTTGTTAGTAAGGAAGAAGCTATTATGTTAGCTGATTGGTATTTGAACCCACGAAATTGCATCTGTCTTAATTTTGCATAAGTATATTTTTGCTTTTTATTTCTCTGAGTAAGTAAATTTTTGTGTATATGGGTTTTAAGTTCCCCTTGAACTCTTTTTAATAAGATTTATTTTGCCTATAAAAAAAATATAAATGACAAAAAAATTTAAGGGTTTGTATTTATAATATCCTAAAATTACAGGTATTTAATAATTTTTAAAAATTATAATATTTACTTAAAAATTTAAGATAATACTATTTTTAATTATGTATTTATCTCTATTTATATTCTTAAATATTTTATATACTTATTATGAACAAAAGAAAAATAATAATAAATGCCATATTAAAAGTTAAAAAATAATTTTGATGTAAATAAATATATTCATTATATTTCGTAAATCATAAGTTTTAAGTGCAATACATATTTTTTATCAAAGTGCAATACATATGAACATAAAATGGATTAAAAAAAAGAATGATTGATGCCGGGTCAACTAGGGATTCACACCACACATTCAATCAAATCTATTATTTAATTTGTATAAATTAATCTCATTTTTTTATCTTCCAAATATATGTGTGTGTCATCAGAATATATTTAACATTAAATCTTTTTAAAATTATGAAACTAGAAGCCAATAATGTTTTTGAGAAATAAAATATATACTAAGTTAATAATTGCTCAAATTTTTTGTAGTATCAATGCATGCACGTTCTTGATTATATGCCTTTCAAATTGCTTGTGTCCAAAGCTGGGGTTGTCGTTTGTTCAGGTATCTGGGCAGGGTGAAATAGTTGAAGAGCAGAGTGTAAAACACGAAATAAACAGTTTCCAACGTGGCACACTGACATTTCCCTATTCCACCTTTACAGTTTCGATCAAATTTTGCTGAGTTTTTTTGGCTCTTAGCTATAAATTTAAATAATTATTAATAATAGAATTTTATTAAAATATTTTTTATATTTTTATTACTATTTTGCTTTCAAATATTTAAATTCAACATTAAAGAACGAGATTAATGAAACTTAAAAATAAACATGTACCAAAATATTGCTTAAAATAATAAGTCTTAAAAATATTGTAAAAGAATGTATAGAGAATAATATTTATTAATTAAAAATATTTTGACCTTTATTAATTTATCTTAGCTGATTAACCAACATATTTTTTATTTTAATTTTTTTAACTAGTATTCCGATAACATGTTCAACAAATTTCAATTGAAAAAACAAGTTCTAAAATGATGGTGCTAAGTACATGAGTAATGGTGTGATCATACTCTTAATATAATCAGTTGAAACAGGTATAAAATGTTAACAAAAATAATGTTTTAAAGTGTATTTAATATATTTTTTAAAATTATATATATGTATGTTTACGTATAAAATTGTGAGTTTCATTGATTAAAAAATTATTTAACGTATATTTACTCATCAAAAGTCACTCTTGCATGTATGAATGGGGCGGGGCTCCATGATGTTTAGGGTTCTGGTACTTTCATAAAAGGGTAATTAAGAGTTTCATCAATCGGATATAAATTATTCAACTTATGTTTATTCATCCATTGACACTTTGCATGTATATCCATAATATGTATAATAAACCATAAATCAATTTGCTTAAATTTTACTGGCTGATTTTTCATACAACAAATTTATCTTGCATGCAAACTATTCATACAGCAACTTTAAATTCTTTCACTCACGTGAAGTAGCTCTGAGATTCCAGCCCATCGCAAAGGAATCAATGCCCGAACCTGTAAGTTTCGATAGATGCTTAGAATAAAGTTCATGCAAGATGAAGACGAAAATGCAATAGTCATTATATAAGGTTTTTCCATTTGGGGAGTTAAATGTCAATTATGAGCCATATACTGGGGACCCTATTGACAATTCTGCAACCTGAAATTTGTATTTTATATAGACAAAACCAAAAGCTTATTATAATTTCGAGTACACAATCAATCATTTGGAGCACGACCATTACTTCGTATTGATCCTCACATTATCCCAAGGATTCAGCTCAATTACAAGTACAATTCTAATCTTCTAGTAGTGGCAAGTTTAACCAAACTGTTCAAGAATTTAAACAATTTTCCAGCTCAAACTCAAGTCAAAACCGTTTTTCTTGACCATTGCTTTTTTTTTGCTGACATGACTTAATTTCTTTCTTGTATCAATATTTAGGTAATATTACAGTTTGAGACATGGGAATTGGTGGACACGTTCTAGAAGTGTGATATCTGACCTCTGGTTATATATACACTTAAAATAAAATATTCTTTGCCTGAGTGAAAACTTAACAAAATATTTCACACAAATAAATTTATCTTTAATATAAATAGGTAAAAGTAAATTAACTTTATATTTGAATAAAGTATCATAGTATACTTTATATTAAATTTAAAATAAATATAATTTTAATTTCCCACTTCAAAAACAAG